GCGGGTGTTGGTATTTTTTAACAACATTATTAGAAATATGAATTCCCAGCAATGGCGCCAGAAAATAATGCTGGTATATATATGGTTACAGAAGGGATCCGCAAGCGCACAGATATATCATTGTAGCATTTCACTCGGAAGTATTGCAAGGTATCGTATTTATAATCCCAAGGTAAGATTGTAAGAGAGAACTATGATAATAATTTATATATGCCACTTGTATGATCAGAGTCTAAGCATGGGTTAATAAGTTCATAAGGGTAGAGTGACACGAAGCAAAGAACTCATATCTCTCATTAAATAATCCTAAGCTATGTGGAAGAAGAAATAGAAAAGCAATCAATTCCTATACTTTTAGTATACACTCAATCTTAGTTTACATCTGCTAGTATACAGTTGTGTGGTCAATACCCCCTAATAGTGCCCTCCTGGTGTTTCGAGAGACCACCCCGGGTTGCCGAGTTTTTGCCGAGTTGCCGAGACCACCCCCACACTATATCTCTAGCCTGGATTTTTGTTGAGAAATGGAGATTCAAGGGAAGTTGGCCTAGTCCAAATTGTCTTGCTGCTATCATTGGATGATAGAATTCATATGAATTCTGAGTGAATCGACCTTGGGATACTCCAGTAGGAAGAATGCATGGTAAGAGGGCCGATATGAAGTTCTTTTTGTTCTCAGGATAGAACTCATTGTTCAAATCATCTATCCTCAAGTCCTCTGGACATTCAAAGTCTTCGAAATTTTCATAGGCATACCACATTTCTGTATCGTTTGGGAAACCATCATAGAAATGCTTGAACCAATGCTCAAAGGGTTCAGCTGATAGGTTGGAGCCAGCAAACATGTAGGCAGCCTCGCCAAAAGACATACAAGGTCTGTCGTCCTCATTGTCCTCGATGGATGGGAATCTGAAGTCTTGAAGAGTCTGATGGTTGATAGAATTGACAATATAAATATTGAGCCATAGCTGAACAAACCACCAAGGGCCACCATGTTTGACTGAAGAGTTCATCAGTAATCTGGTCGACGCTTGACTCATAATCTGATATATTGCTCCTAGTATAAATTTCCCAAGTGGGATTGAATTTTCTTCATGAAGAGCTTGAGCCAGATGTTGAAAGTTGTGCCACAAAATATAAACCTTTTCAACCAGAGGTTGAGGAAAGCAATATGTTCTTCATTTGTCACTAGTCCAGTACCCATGCATCTGGTAACATATCCCAACCAGCCACCACAAACTTTGGCATTGATTTTGCGCTCACATTTAGTCTTCAAGTTGATGGGGTTGGCCGATGAGGTGATATCCAAGCATGTGAGCATTTTTACATCTAAGAGAGTTGGGGTCATCGGCCCATGTCCAAGAATGAATGCATTAATGGTATTAGACCAAAAATATGTCGCGGCCGATAACATGGACTCGCTCTTTGGCATATCGGCTAGGGATAGTTGAAGGCACTGTTCTATCCCTATCTTCTTCCATGATGATCGCTTGGCGGTTGATACCCTCTTGAACCAATCTTTCCACTAATCAAGTTTTGAGGGCCAAGATCTGAAAATGTTTGGCCAATGGTTGAACTTTGGTTTTGATTCTCAGAAGGGGATTCTATTTGTCTCGGTAGTGATGAATATTGTGGGGTCTGGATCACCCATAGGGCCAAGGAAGTAACGGGTATCGGCGTGAACGACGGGGATTAAGACTTGATCTCTAAGGTGCTGAAACAAAGGGTTCAGAAAGCAAGAAACCCTAAATATTGATTTCGAGCGAGTTTTGCAAAGGATAGTCGGTGATAATGGGTGAAGAACTTACCTCGGCGTCGAAACAAGATTTTGACAATACTAGAATGGGGTAGCAATCAAGCAGGAAAAGTGGATGGGTTAAGAGACACGAGGTTTATACATGTTCAGGCCCTCTCAATGAGATGTAATACTCTACTCCTGTCTGGGGATTGATCTGCCGAGTGTGTTATTGATCGTATGATCTGTGGGAAAAGTTCTTGCCCCAAGAGGCACCCGAACCCCTCCTTATATAGGGGGAGGAGTCGGTATTTACAAAATACAGTCCATATTCCTAACGGAATAGGTGTATGAGATAAACTACAATCGTAACCGACTAGAACTACGAGGTGTTTCCTTGATATACAAGTTTACATATCTACCGAGTCCTTTACTAAATATATTCTATCTATACATGGCATCCCCTATAACCAGATGGATATCCATGCCGTGTGGGTATGGGGTATCCATAAACTCCACACTCGGGGATGTCAGATATGGTTGCCATTGACGCAAGCTTGGTTGAGCTGATGGAGCTTGCACTCGCCAACGAGAGACTGGATTACCGAAAAGATCGCCGGGGACAGAGAGGATTTTTGCAGAAAGAGTGTTAGTGGAAGACTTATCCGGAAAAAGGGTTTTAAGTAGGAGACCTCTACTTTTAAGCTTAACAGTGAAAACAGAAAACCCTAGATTTTCGCAGGTTTGGCAAAAGCAAATTCCGCTGGATTATATAATACAACGGAAATGGGGGGCATGTGTTAACAACGGAATTTTGCATCAAATTCGGAGAAGAAGGAGAAAGATTGAGGCGAATTTGGTGTGGAATCAAGTTGAAATCGAAGTCAGTCCGCACATCGGCTGGAAATAGAGTGTGAGTTGATCAAGGTTGATGAGGCCGATGGCCGATATAACCGATATTGTATGACTTGGGCTCGTGTTGGGCCTAGATTGGAATAATCATCATTACCAATTAGAGATAGAGCTCATTTAAGGCAATTGTATCTATTAATTAGGATATTTGAGTCAGTTTGTTAGATTTGACAAGAGACCGCCATGTATGGTCTTGTTTGTATCTTATCTTTAGAAAGGTTTGAGTCGTATCCATAAAGGACTGAGTCTGTATTCGGGGTATAAATATTAACCCCTTAACATTGTAATACAGAGAGACAATCCAATACAACTTTGGCGCATCGCCACCCTTTTTATTTTTACTTTTCGACGAGTTCGCTTCGCAAGAGGTAACATGTCTCGATGGCTTGTACAATCGGGGCTATTATGTCGTTTTAGATATCTTAGTCCTTGTATCATGACCATTGCTATCATATGTCTCTGTTAATCTAGTCTTAGCATATCGATTTAGCTCTATCGGCTGCTTCTCGCTTTAGGGTTTCTTTCGGTATCGGCTAAATCGTCTTGCTAGATTAGATTAGCTTAGACATCTTGCTAGATTAGATTAGATTAGATTAGCTTGATTGTCTAGATATTGTGTTTCTTTTTATACTTAGTGCTGCATCAGTACATTCGACCTACTAAGTCGTGTTTAGAACCATGGTCTCTAGCCTGCTTCTTGATTGCTAATAAGGGTAGCATCGGGGTTTTAGCTGATCTTACCTAATATACATGCATCTTTATTTGTTTCATGTATATTTACCATCTATATAGATAGATCACCTTACAGTAATATATCAAGTCTAGGTCATATCGACTGGGCTATCAATATTGACTATTGACCTCTATTTAACATATTACTATAGATTGATTTGCCTATATAGATATGGAGTATTAGCTAGTACATTATCTTTCTTGCTCTAAATACTATTACATCGGCTATTTTAATAATATTTTCTTAAGCTTCTTTATCAATCTTGATAAGACAATGTTACAGCCGATGAGGCATATTTAGGGTTTAATATTCTTTAATATATCCAGTCCATAGTCAATGTGGTCTAACTCCATCGGCTGAGACCGCCAATGATACACTATCGGCTGACTAACTCTGCTTTTGTCTTTTTTGCTGATTACAAGATCAAATTAGCTGGCACGCCTAATTACAATGGCGCAGGCTAGCCCATTCTGTGCAAGCTAAACGAGGACGCAAGTGCTCATTTGTAGCAATTCCTAGAGATCTGTAGCATCTATACTATCAAGGGAGTCAGCCAAGATGCCATCCAACTCCACATGATCCCGTTCTCTCTTATTGGGAGAGCGAAACAGTGGTTTGCGGGAACCGTGCATCAATCGGACTCCTGGAATAAGTGCTCAACTGCGATCCTCTCCAATTTCTTTCCGATGGGCAAAACAAATGCTCTTTGTAGAAGAATATCCAGTTTCCAGCAGACGAGAAATGAGATCATTCCTGAAGCATGAGAAAGGCTGTAGTAATATGTCGCTAGACTTATAATTTAGTGAGAGAATTCTAAACTATTACTTGTGTCAAACCTATCCTTAACCTGAATTGATTAACGTATGTATAAGACTTTGATTCATATAAGTGTGATAAGAATTTATACCATAATATTTTTTTACCATATCTTCTCTTAGGATTAAATAATACGATACCTTGGAAATACTTCCGGGTGCTTGTTGATTTATTTCTATAAATAAACAAATTAGAATGAAGTTTACAATACCTTGGAAAGCTGTTTACAACACCAAATTAGTTTTATTAAAACCCATAAGATTACCGTTTGCGGATTTACTTCTATAACCTATAAGATTAACGTTTAATATTTCTAGCAACTTTAGAATCGTTTATAGTAATGTCGTTAAGAAATATCAATAGCCAGCATGAGGACATGATCAATATCAACAGATAGCGTGGTGCATTGATCATGCCCTCAGTTTGTTACCGTCATCATTTCTACATTAATACTTCATCCATTTCATTTTATAAGTCTTTTTTACTTTTTTTTCTAATCAAACTTTTTTATCCATTTTATATTATAAGTCTTTTTTATACTTTTTTTCTGTAATCAGTCTTTTTTAAGGTTAACTATGTTTCTAAAAAATAGCAATATTTACAACACCAAATTAGTTTTATTAAAACAAATAGTTAATATATTTTGATAATATATATTTTTCTATAAAAATTGGTTAAAAGTTTAACTAGAAAAATGTCAAAACATTATGATTATAATATGAAACAGGGGTAGTAGACAATGGCAAATACAAAACCAAGTTGTTCTGATTTGTTTCTTTCCTCTTTCTTAGTATTACACTGATATTAAGTTAGAATTCTGCTCCCGTAGATTATTAAAGGATTATGCTAGTAAACTTGACACAGTTGAGAGTGCCAGCACTTCACCGTGCATGCTTCAAGTCATGAAATTGCTATGCGATGAGACATCTTACAATTCACCCAAGTGAAGCATATGCACATGATTAGAACGTGAACCGAAACACAACATCGTATAGACAAATCATCTGCCCAAAACTTGATATATGGAAGAAGTGAACCAAGAATGATGAAAAGCAAATTAAGCTAGTTTTGCAGTATAAGGAGCCTTCGATTGCTGAATGTACAAAATCTCTCAAGCATCTATAAAGCTGGATGTCCAGTGCAACAAGAAAGTCCGACAAGTACTCCATCAGTTGCTAAACACTGCACCTGAGACTCTCCACACGACGGAGATTGATGGAGATTAAACAACAATGCCCAACCAGAAGGTATACCTTTGGCCTTTCTCAAGTGCAGCCTGGAGACAAGTTCAAGAAAAGCTGGTTAGGCCAACGCCCAACGGTACACTGTCTAATACGGAGTATATCACAAATAATTGCAAATGGAAACTTCACTAGTTGCAAAAGAAAAAAAAAAAAGAACTCAGTAAGATGCAGTGTATTAGCTTTGCTGCCGAAGGGCATTTTACCTCAGAGTTTCAGAACTTCTAGGTTTAAATCTTGATGTTGAAGTAGTCAGAATCAAAATGGTGCAGCCTTACATATCCATCTTCACCACCACTCGAAAAGCTGTTTAACATCGCATCATAGATATGAATAACTGAAGCTCAAAGCAAAAACACTTTAATTAACCATCACATGAGAGAAAAAAAACATGCTTGAAGAGAACTAGTCATCACATAAAGCAGCTCTCATAAATTCGTTTTCACCAATAGAAATCAGAATAGCATATATGACCAAATGTGATTGGCAACAATCATTGAGCCACCCTGAGATAAAATCAAAGTATACAGCAATCATTAGAAGGCCAGCGGTGCCCCCACTGAGATATCGTCAAATCTAATTTACAATTTTTTAAACTTCTTTTATGCTGAAATACTATACAATTTTCAGATACAGTAATAGTGGCTCCCAATGAAAAATGCATTGGAATAGTAATGAAGACTCCTGCACATACATTGAATCAATACAAAAACACCTGGGACATTTAACTCTAGGCCACTTTTAAGATGTGGCAATTAATTATTTGCCACTCGCTGTCTATGACATGTGGGCCCTCATGTGTCTATGACATGTGGGTCCAATGGCAAATCATTTATCACCATCCGTAAAAGTGGCAAATAATTAATTAATCCGATGTTGGGAGGAAAGATAGCTCTCATAAGTCCTAATAAAAAAACACTCCAATCAGAATAGCGTATAAAACCAACTTGATTGCATTGAGCTTCAAAATCATTAGACATAAACAACACTTCAAACATCTAAGAATGCAACTCAATTGTGCACTAACAGGTTATCAAATTAAATATTGGACATGGCATGGTTCTCATATGTACAAACAGCAGCATAAGAATTCAATAGAGAACAACTATGGCAAACATGACCAATGAATCAATTTAAGGGACAAAACTAGAGAGGTGGTGGATTAAAATGGCAAAGGTGAATGATGAGTTGTTGTACAACAATACAAAAGTAAGAGCTTCAAGTAAAAGGAGAGATGCCCATGGGAACATAATAACCACTAGAACCACAAGAATGTATTAAAAATCTACATGGTCAGATAAAATACAAAATAGAATCTGCTCTCATAATGTTTATGGCATCTTAATATGATTCAGAATAGCGTGTATTGCCATGGTGCATGGGTTAATCATTGAGCAAAAAGCACACAAATATGGGAAAAAGCTAATCAAGAACATAAGTGCAGGGGCAGAACGTAAATACAAATACATGTATTAAGAATATTACCTCCGCCCATCAGGATTAAATGCCAGCGCGTTAATTGGTCCAAAATGGCCTTTAACACCACCAATTTCCTCTTGCAAAATCTAAAGAAAAATATAGAACTCTCATTCTTGAACAGCAAAATATAACTTTGAAAAGATAACCACACGATCATTGTTCTCACTAAAACATAAGATGGAAACTATGTGCGAAGAACTGACCTTGTGAAAAAATTTCGCTTCAAATTTTCCTGCACGACGATCTGTCATAGTCACATTCATCGCATCTTGACCACCTCCAATAACCACCTAACACAACAAGATTTCTTAGGGCATCCACAATGTAGTCCAAAAGTGGTCCATAAGCAATATAATATTTCATTCAACTACCTAGCAACATTGTGGAACTAGTCCATAGCAAAGAAATAACAAAAGCTACCCATAAGCATATGGGCTACCCATAGAGAATAAAATATATTATTTGTCTCTACTTCTTCTCTCCTCCTAATACTATTTGCTATATATATATACATTGTGAAGGTTGCTATAGTTAAAGTCTCTTTATGTGGGCCCCATCTATATGGATCACTTTTGCCATATACATTGGTGATGCCCTTATGGTTAGTAGTTGAAATACGAGCCTACCCTACAATTCAACAACTCATTTTACTCATCCCTCATTTTTAGACTCACATTTCTTACATCTTACAAATGCAACAGCTAATATTTATCAATACTATTATTCAACAGCCTAGATCGTACCCCTCACTCACCCGCACCGGTGCCCCCCACCACCACATGGCCACACCTATCAATTCCCCCGCACCCGATAATCCTCTATCACTTCACCCCCCCAGCCCCGGCAGCCCCACTTCTCCCCCAAATCACGCCTTCTCCGCCAAACCCTAATATCCTATATCCCATCACCGTCGCCGAATCCGGTTGCACAGACGCGGGGTGCCGCCGATCGGAGACCAGATGTCAACCCTGCATCGACGCCTCAACAACCACCGCCGACCCCGATCCGTAGTGCCGCCTCTTACTCTCTCACTCTGCCGCGGCTGCTGCCAGGTCCCGACATTCAAGATCACTACTGGCATAGCTCCCCCATCGTCCAAAACCATGCCGGCAACGATCCTCTGTGGCATCCACGAGTCGCCACATTTTGTTATTGAGCTCACTGATGTTGGTCCGATATGACATGGCTGCAGTTTGTTATTAGGTTTAAGATTTATTTGGGAAAACTAGATTCTCCTATTCAAAGGTTGAAACATCCAGAATTGGGCACCATGGCATCACCTCCATGGCAACCCTGACCCTTATCTAGCTATATCGTTTCCCCATTGCTTTCTAGATCAACAGTTAAATACTACTAAATTGCAGTGCCTAACCTTTCTATTTGTATGTGCTATAAGTCAATCCAATGAAGGTATAATTTTTATAATTATCATTGTCCTACTCTGGTTCTGCCATGAATTTTGGGAGAAAGCCAGAAAGGTACTACTGACAAAAAGATAATGTGCATATGACCAGTCTCCTGTACATTGTAGATGATATCTTACTTGAGAATGGCATGCTCATGTTCCTATAAATTTAAACTGCCATCACTCAAAGAAAATACAGCTTTTCTTGTCACAACTGATGAGTAATTTGCAGCAATGCTGTAACAGCAAAGATAATAGACAAAATGGATTGATGATATTAGCGGTACTAAAGCTGTGTAGTAATAAATTGTGTTTTGGTTAAGTCCATAGTAAAGGAACCTAATCTTCTTAACTGTTCATTTTGTCTCACCAAGACTGAAGAATGCATTTCTCTTTTACCTATGTGTATTCAGAACTATGAGGATAAATATGCAGAGATGCTTCTTCTGCTTCAGAAATTTGTGGAATACAAATAAGCTAGGGCCAAGATAATGATTAATGGCAGGTTAAATTATCCGTGCATATAAAATGTCATCAAGCCTTATATTTTTCAAGATGCATGAACTGACCGAAGGTTGATGTTTCTGCCATCCACTGCTTTTGGTAGATGAAGTAAAAAGATTTTATTTTACACCTTCGTGATGGCTAATAAAGCTTATTTTTGGTGAACCATTAAGATGGACGCACTAATGGTTCCCATGGACTGAAGTTCCTGATTCCTGACAGCATGTGACCTGCCTTCCTCACACCCAAGCATCCCAACCTCCAACTTAAAGGTGTTATTAGGATTTCCCCAGCCTATAATAGGTATTATTAGAAATTAAGGGTGCAAGTGGGCCGGCCCGCAAACCCACTAATAGTACAAACAAGTGGGTAACCCGCCAGGTTACTCAGTTACTATAAGTGGGTTAGTGGGCCAGCCAACTTGCACCCCTTGATAGAGAACCTAAGAATTTCTAAGTCAATACCAAATATTCAAAGTTAGGATTAGTTAATTAGTTGTAGGTTATATTCTATATTGTATCAAATGCTTTATTTTTGGACTTGGAACGAATTAATGGAATAACTTCCCACCATTCTTTTTATTGTGCATATATATTGCCCTCGTATAATGTATATTGACGCGATTCTATATAATTATCGATGGTCATGAATCATTATCTTCAGGCAATATAATTACTGCTCTTTGCGTTAAATATATTTCATATACAACTTAAATCGAATTAAAATCTCAATTGGACATATGAACATTGTTTTCACTAACATGACAATTTTCATAGTTTTTTTCAAAAATATAATGGTTCCGTAGCATTAGCATGGGCATATTACTAGTGAGAACAAGACTGACTACTCGTTACAGTAATAAATTACAGGTGAACAATACAGATGTGGCCAATTAGACATTTTTCCAGTGTTAGTACAAATACAAATCCATGACAGCCAACATTACTCAAATAAATTATATAGAATTGGGGTAAATCCAGGGTCAAAAGATGTGCTGGACAGTACATAGGTGCTTTGCACTTCCCGCTGTATATTCATTGTTATCTATACATGTAGAAGTACTAATTGCAGATAATAAGTATGTGAATGGATCATTTGTTGCTCTACTGTCTTATAGTAAACTAATCATAGAAAGAAAACGACTCAAAACTAAGAAAAAAATTGTGACAGCCAAAATCATCGAAAAAATGAAGTAATATCCAACTTCAACAAATAAAGAAGTTTTCTTCAAAGCAAAATAAAGAAATGGAGGCCATAGGCATTTCTATCCAAACAATAACATATTGGGAACACATCCAATTAGCAAGACATAAAACCAAGTAACTTAAGGCATGACCATATGTAACGTGATTATAAAAGAATTGCACCTATAGAAGAATATTACGTATTGTGACATAGGCACATACATGGTCAAGAAGAGGAGAAATGTCAACAGCATTAACAGGTCGCTCAGTGACATATGTCTTGATCAGCGTCAGAGTTCTTGTATCCCATAGCTATCCAGATAGCAATGTGCATGTCAGTAAATAATCATATTTGAAGTACAAAGTACAAACAATTGAAGACATGATTATGCTAGCAGCTTCAACAAAATATCACCTTAGCAGACTTATCCAAGGAGCCTGTTAGGAAATGCGACCAATCTGCAGATTTTGAAAGTGAAGTAATTGTTTTCTGATGTCCTTGCTCTTTGTCTGACTCCTTCAGACATTGTCCAGTCTGTACATGCCAAAACCAAACAGAATGTAAAACATTACCATGATAAAGTTGACCGAGAAGCATGTACATTCCCCCACAGTTAGATAGCTTGCATGTATAATATAATACAAGGTCAAATGGCAACATATAACCTGGAAAGTATACGTTATGCATTTATGCATTAAATGTAGCATGTTTTCGGTTAGTGTGCAAACAACACAAAACACCATTTTGCCATTGCCTATATATATTCCCAGAGTCAATTTAAATCGAGAAGCCTGCAAGGTATTTATCGCCGGTTCAACGAGTTAACATTTGTCTTGTTAATGCATAATGTTGCCATCAATAACAAACTGTGACAATCACACATGCTTATCAGTGATTTTTCAATCATATCCGGCAACATATTTAACTATCAAACTTCACTTGTCAGTCCAGGTACGTCAAATGATCCTATACAAGAGAACTACGTGTTCATAATTATAAGCAAACATGTCCATAATTATAAGCAAATGGTATATTCCTGACGAGCACCAAGCACCTAGTACTAGTGATGAGTAGAAGTAGCACCAATGGTCGGTAGAACTAGTGCAAATAGGTAATCCGAGCTAACCTCTGTGTCCCAAATGCGGATGGTAGCATCCTCACCGGCGGTGATGATAGTCCTGTTCAACGGCCCCCACACGGCCCTGTTGATCCTCCCCTTGATGCCAGTAATCACGAGAAGAGACTCCTCCGACTCTGCATCCACAACCACACACTTTAGAACACATCCAGAAGCTTCCAACTAGAAGGAGACCGGAGACGCGTCTTACGGTCATCGGGGTCCTCGGCGATGCGCTTGACCTGGGCGGTGGGCACGTTCTCCATGAAGTTGTCGGTGGTGATGACGGCGAGGCCGTCGCCAATGGCAAATTCAACGGAGCGGGCGGGGGCGTCGAAGCGGAAGGTGAAGAGCTCCCTCCCGGTCTGCACGTCCCAGAGCTTGGCGGTCTGGTCGGCGCTGCCGGTGATGAGGCGGGTGGAGTCGCGGGAGACGTCGCAGGACCAGACGGCGCCGTTGTGGCCGCGGTAGGTGCCGAGGCGGTCGCCGTTGTCGGCGAACCAGACGTTGGGGGTGTGGTCCTTGGCGCAGGAGAAGAGGAGGTCCCCGTCGCGGTTGTACCGGAGGAACGTGAGCGGGCGCTCGTGCCCCTTCATCAGGATCGGCCTCATCTTCGCTGTCGGGCTACTGCTTCTCGCCGCCGCCGGGGAGGAAGGGTGGTAGGGTTAGGAAGAGGAGGTTGGGGGATCTGGGTCGAGTGGGGTGCGGCGGCGCGGAAAAACCCTAGCTCGCGGGTGGATTGGGGATTTTGTGCTGGCAGGGTAGAGCGCGCGGGACGGTAGGCATAATAGCGGAGTTGCTGGGCTCGCCTGGTCCAATAACTTCGTGAGTCGGTTGGGACAAGGAAAAAGTGAAAGGAAAATGTACACCGAAGGTCCCTCAACTTGTCATCGGAATAAACAAACATCCTCAAATCGCAAAACCAGATATGCGAGGTCCCTTAACTATACCGGTCACAATAGGTTCCTCGGCGGTTTTGATCCTAGTTTTATCCTATGTGGCTGTTGAGTAAGCGTGGGACTCACGTGGGCCCCACATGTTAGCCTCCTCTTTCTTTCCCCTCTTCTCTCCCTTCCTCTTCTCTCTCTCACTCGCCCTCCTCGTCATGCTCAGCTCCTACCGCAGCCGCTCCGGCCACTCGGCGCTCCGCCTCTTCGTCTGGGCGGCCTCCAAGCTCTTCCTCCCGCTCGTCTCCTACGCCGCCAAGTGGGACGCCACGCGTCGAATGCCACCGCACGACGTCGACGAGCGTCCCGCTCCTCCTCGCCGAGGAGGCCGTCGAGCACGAACGCCACCGCACGGCGAGAGCCCGTTCGCGTACGCTGATGCAGAAGATGCGCACCGTCCTCATCGAGCACGCGCTGGCCAACAGCGAGGCGGAGCGCAACGTCAACACCTCAGTGTTCGCCAAGGTCGCAATGTTCGAGGAGAAGCTCCGCGCGGCGCTGCCCAGGGAGGTGGAGGCTACCCGTGCGGCCGTGGAGAACGGCACCGCCGCAAAGGCGAACAGGATCACCGAGTGCAAGTCGTACTCGCTCTACCGGTTCGTCTGCAAGGAGCTCAGGACAGAGTACTTGACCGGGAAGAAGATCGACGCGGTCGCCCGGTGAGGACGTGAACAAGGTGTTCGTCGCCATGAACCAGGGCAAGCACATCGACTCATATACTTCTAGTATAGTATATTATGCTCTTCCTCCCGCTCGTCTCCTACGCCGTCTCCATCGCCGCCAAGTGGGACGCCACACGTCGAACGCCACCGCACGACGTCGACGAGCGTCCCGCTCCTCCTCGCCGAGGAGGCCGTCGAGCACGAACGCCACCACACGGCAAGAGCCCGTTCGCGTACGCTGATGCAGAAGATGCGCACCGTCCTCATCGAGCACGCGCTGGCCAACAGCGAGGCGGAGCGCAACGTCAACATCTCGGTGTTCGCTAAGGTCGCAATGTTCGAGGAGGAGCTCCGCGCGGCGCTGCCCAGGGAAGTGGAGGCTACCCCGTGCGGCCGTGGAGAACGGCACCGCCACAAAGGCGAACAGGATCACCGAGTGCAGGTCGTACTCGCTCTACCGGTTCGTCCGCAAGGAGCTCGGGATAGAGTACTTGACTGGGGAGAAGATCGACGCGGTCACCTGGCGAGGATGTGAACAAGGTGTTCGTCGCCATGAACCAGGTCAAGCACATTGACTCATATACTTCTAGTATAGTATAGTATAGTATGAGTACCTACTTTACATTATGTTCATGTTATACTGAATATACGGCTAGCTTATCTGGGAGATGCTTTGGTGCGGATATAATGTTTGCTAATGCAATTACTCTATGTCAGGATCGGGTGGAAGGTCGGAGAAGCCAGTCTTCAGTGGTGCTTCCATGGGACGATGATATTAGAGTAGTATCTGATAGTTTAGACGTGGTGTCTAGATTACGGGATATCATTATTTGGGGTTATATATTGCGGAGGAGAGGTGAGCCGTTGATAGTGACAGCTCAGTACAGGTATTCCTCCGCGCCGGTATATAATCCTAAGTTAATTTCCTGGGGAGGGTATTCCTCCGTATTTAGCCCCGGTTATATGGTCATGACGGGCTGTTGTAAGGAACTCGGCAGTCAAGGATGGCTTCTCGAAGTACCAGGAGGGCATTGGATAGAGGGTATTAGCTAGTATATCAGTTAACTAGAATGTATGTATACTATGTATATTAGAAGTATAAGAATATATTTCCTTTCTCTTTTCTTTCCACCTAGCTTAGATCATTTATTATGAGAATGAGTTGCTAATGCTTGTGTGTCACTCTACCCTTGGATTATCTTAACCCTGCTTAGAATATGATTATTACAAGTAATATATATAAACTATTAGTCAATCTCTCTCTACATGATCTTCCCACGGGATAAAATAAATACGATACCCTTGGAATATTCTCGGGTGAAATGCTACAATGGTATATCCGTGCGCTTGCTGATGAACTCTGTAACCATAATATACCAGAAGTATTTCTGCGCCATTGCTGGGAATTATATTTGTAGTAATGACGTTAAGAAATACCAACAAGTATTTCTGGCGTCGTTGCCGGGCAAGATTCATAATAGAGATTGCTTGAACTAATACTTCATATTTACCTTTGTATAATCATTTTCCTTTGCAGGCTAACCTTGGTTGTTTTCACTTTTTTTGTGAAAACAGGGTAGTGCATGACTGGTTTCAACTTGCCGGAAAACTTCAAAGAAAATCCAGAAGCTTTCTTTCGGAGCGTCAGGCCACGAGTCGTTGCTCCGTAGAAAACTCTACCGATAGAGAAACCAGTCGTACCAGCGCCACCGACCTTCAAGACAATGGCCAGCAAGACTCTTCGCGAGTTTGCTGCTCCCTCTGCTGACAATGTGGCCATTGGGCTGCAGGTCAACATAGGAGACGTGGATTTCGACTTGAAGTCCAACCTCATCACGATGGCGCAGGCTAGCCCGTTATGTGGCAAGCCTAATGAGGATGCCAATGCTCATCTGCAACAGTTCCTGGAGATCTGTAGCACGTACACCATCAAGGGCGTCAATCCCAATGCCGTCAGGCTACGGCTGTTTCCGTTCTCCCTTCTCGGGAGAGCGAAGCAGTGGTTCTATGCTAACCGTGCTGCTGTCAACACCTGGGACAAATGCTCTACGGCATTCCTCTCGAAATTCTTCCCGATGGGCAAAACCAATGCCCTTTGTGGAAGGATTTCAAGTTTCCAGCAGACAAGGGATGAGTCTATTCCTGAAGCATGGGAGAGTCTGCAGGAGTATGTGGCCGCCTGTCCTCATCATGGGATGGACGATTAGCTGATCCTGTAGAAATTTTATAATGGACTCACCCCAATGTCCCGCGATCACCTGGACGCGGCAGCTGGAGGGGCTTTCTTCTCTAAAACGATGCAAGGAGCCGTTGAATTAATAGAGAAGATGGTCTCCAATATTGGCTGGAGCGAGGAACGACTCCAGACCAGTCAGCGAGGCATGCACACCGTCAAGGAGACGGAGTTACTTGCTGCCAAGCTGGTTCTCCTCATGAAACGCTTGGACGACCACGAGAAAAGGCCACAAGGCACCGTCAAGGCCTTGGACTCACACGTCACGTGTGAAGTCTGCGGCGTCATGGGTCATTCTGGGAATGATTGCCCGGAAACCCGTGAGGAGGCGAACGTACATGGGCAACAACAACGGGTACCGGCCACAAGGAGGTCAGGGGTGGAACCAACCACGCCCATATTATCAAGGAGGTAACAATAACGGTAACTTCTCTAATCAGCCCTCCTTAAAGGATCTCGTTTTTGCGCAAGCCAAAACTACTGATTCACTAAGCAAAAAGTTTGCTGCTAACGACAAGATCCTAGAGAACATAAATGTCAAGTTAGATGGCCTTGCTTCTGCCTTTCAAAATCAGCTGAGCTTTAACAAAATGATAGAAACCCAGTTAGCTCAGTTGGCATCTTTAGTCCCTGCAAATGAAACTGGGAGGATTCTGGGGCAACCCGACTCCACAATTGAAAATGTCAAGGCGATCATGACGAGGGGAGGTAAGTCCACTCGTGATCCGTCATATCCTAACCCTGCAGGAACTAATGGGATGTCAAAAGAAGCGCCATCTAATGACTCGGCTGACAAAGAGGTTCAGCCAGAAAAGACCGTTCCGCAGGAGTACTGCAACACACGGTTGGTGCCATTTCCCCAACGGATAAGAAAACCGTCAGTGGATGAGCAATTCGCTCACTTTTGTTGAAGTGATCCGAAAGATCCACATCAACGTGCCATTGTTGGATGCTATGCAAGTGCCGACATACGCCCGTTATCTCAAGGACATACTCAACAATAAGAGACCACTCCCAACAATGGAGGTGGTCAAGCTGATGGAACAATGCAGCAACAAGCTCCCGGAGAAGAAGAAAGATCCAGGTTGTCCTACGATCACCTGCTCGATCGGGGCACAGCTATTCAACCAGGTCTTATGTGACCTTGGAGCCAGCATCAGCGTTATGTCAAAAGACGTCTTCGACAAGCTCAACTTCACGGTGTTGGCACCGACACCGATGTGCCTCCAACAGGCTGACTCGTCAATCCGTTACCCGGCGGGGATAGCGGAGGATGTGCTAGTCAAAATACGGGATTTCTTCATCTCGGTTGACTTCGTGGTACTAGACATGGACACAGGGAAGGAAACGCCGCTTATCCTGGGGCGTCCGTTCCTTAGCACCGCAGGAGCTAACATTGACATGGGAACGGGGAGTATCTATTTCCATATCAACGGGAAGGAGAAGAAGTTTGAGTTTCAACCAAGGACGGAACAATGCTCCATGGTCAGAATAAAGTACGGGGCCGAACCCACAAAATATTCAAGAGGTCGAAGTGGAGCCACCCAAGATGGATAGCCTGGTGAAATTTATGCAGAACTTCCTAGAGAAGGAAACAACGATGCCCAGGAACCGTTATTGGAGGACGCCGGTAAAATCACCCATACCGGCCAAGAAGTTAGAGCAGCCGGCTCAGAAGAAGCTGTCCTCCGCACCAAAACCAAAGAAGGTGTGGAGGGAGAAGCCAAAGACGCCCACTCCATCACCTCCGGAGACGGGTAGAAAATCCGTGAACTAAATCGGAAGGAGGTACAGTCTTGCACGTCGGACTTTAAATGACGCGACCTTCGCCAACAGGTAAATTGGTATGTATCCGCATATTTGTTTTCAACAACTTGAATTTTTTGCATCATCACATGTTTGAATTTCAAATATGCATTTAGGATTTTTTTTG